GCGAGAGAAGCCCACACCGTGTTCCCGCCAGTTGATACTTCCTGTGGCTGTGACACCCAAAAGTACGAGAATTCAACCAAGCCGTGTTAGCTAAATGGCACTCACCAGATTCAGTAGATAAGGCAGTCCCAGCGTCACCCTCCTCTCCCTCCTTTGGAAGCGTAGACAGCGCGGTGGAAGGGTGCAAGTCAGGTGCAAGTCCGGCGTTCAAAGTGGGGTTGCGTCCGACTGAGAAATTGCGAGCTGGAAACGTGGCCGCGGCACATTAAAAGATCCTTCTCTTTCCCATCATGCATTGTGAACATGACTAAAACTTGATAATGTAAAGCTACTTAACTTAAAATTATTGACACATTGCTTAACTAACACATGTCAGTATTATATGCTTACATTTGGTAGTCAGCAAGTAGTATATGCTTACATTTGATAGTAATGCAATCAAACTTAAATAATGTCAGTAATTTGTAATTCATTATTTAATTAGATATGAACTCCGGGCTAACAGTGCAGATGTAAAGGTCGGTGTCACTGTGGCCACCTTCCAGGATGATGGAACTTCCCTCGTGCTGATAGATTGATTCACTAGCATAGTCAGGGCCGTATCCACCATTGAGGTCACCGAGGCCCGAACCTCGGTAATAATTTCCGAGCTGTGTATATAACAAAACGTGTGAAATAACTGCACTAAACGGGGTTCTTTGTAGTACTTCCATTTACTGCCAATGGGGGCGCTGCATAACTACATAGCCTCGATTAAAGCAAACAGAAGAAGAAGACATGTATCAACAAACCACCGCAGCCCGGACTTGTATCGGTCTATCGGAGCAGCGGAGGAGTGATGAGGTATCTAGAGATCTGAGTCCAACGGGCTGCTTGTGTTTCTGTTCCTCACAGGACATCATATGACCAGCAGATCCTGTGTGAACGCTCTACGTTAGTCAGTGGACGTCCGACAACATGCACACTAACTTATATTGCAGCTATAGGCAGGCTATACTTTTGTTTAAATTGCGTGAATAAACTAGCTAGAGAGCTAAAGTTAATTACATTCATCCAATGTCAGAAGGATTACCTTTTAACAAACGTTGTAATGCTTTTCTTTCATCTCAATTTGAGTAAAACATTGAAGATATAACATTGTATTGTTTTCTTTTTACGCTGACTCAGATATAATGAAAAGACTATGCCAGTCGAAGCTCAGCTTTGGTAAGGAAGAGACAGGACAGGCAGAGAAAGAGAGAGAGAGAAAGTGATGGAAGTCAGGGAGGAACTGCAGGTACAGTCACACAAAAGAATGTAGGCGTAATAACCCCATCTATCTATCTATCTATCTATCTATCTATTTATCTATAACAATAGTCTTCATTTACACTATAGACAATAGGCATAATTTTAAAACAACATATATCTATTGCAGTTATGATGTCATAATAACATACAATTTGCTTACATCTTTGTTCTCTTTTGAGAATCAAACAAAACAGATTTAAATAAAAAAAATAATGCAAACAAACAAGTGAAATGAACTAAATTGCTGAGTTGCTTTTAATTCACTGGCAGGAGCGACAAGTGAGGAGGAGCAAAAAGTGAACAACAACGAGGGAGAGATTGAACAAAGAGAAAGAGTGGAGGACAGAGAGAGTAATGAACAGGAAGAAGACAGAGAGACTAAAGAAGATGGAAGAGAGGGGGCAGGTTATGGAAAGGAGAGAGACATGGAAAATGAATGTTGACAATGTTTTGGGATCATTTTAGCCTCTTCTGCATGTCCAGATCATTAATAGTAACAATCAACTGATTCTTATGTATTACACTTTCAAAAATAATTGATGCTGTAGCCCACTGACATGGTTTGAAATCAATATATTATCCAATTTGTGACCCCCCACAGGACTTAAAAAGCACCTAACTAGATCATGAAAATCCCAAAAATCTCAGGGGGGTATACCCCCGAACCCCCTTATCATGTTTGGACCTCGGTATTTAGGAAATCCTGGATACGGCCCTGAGCATAGTAATTGGTTTTATTAGACCGTCGATATGTGTCTTTATAAAGTTGGTGTCAAAATAATATGCACCCCTAGCCTTAGAACCTCTTAACCCTGAGATCATATTTTTTACCTCAACCTCTGGGATTTCCTCCAGGTCAAAAACGGGGTGTGTATCCACAGTCGGGCTATGGGAGACCTCAGATGGCGGGAAGAGCTTTGTAATGTCCAAAGCACTATTTATGAAATACTCATTGAGAGAGCTGGCCAACACTGCAGGGTCTTTTATCAGGGCATCATTGATTTTTAATTCTAGAACATTATTTTCCTGTTTGGTATGTTTACCTAATAGTTGATTTAAGATTTGCCAAACTTTTGTCTGTGTGTGTGTGTAACACGGTGTGTGTTATAGTCTTTTTATAACTGGGTGACATAAAAACACAGCAGTTTTCTGCAGGTAGATAAAAGGTGCACTGGGGAATACAATTTAGTTGGAGTTTGGTATCAGCATGTGATCTGAAGCGGCTTTACTGATTGGCCGATGAAGTTACTGAATCATGTGGTCAGTAATTTAAATACTGCTATTACTGAATGTCATGCTGGATTATTCTGGAGTTACCTTGATAAGTAGTTTCTGTGTGGACAAGAGTCGACCATGATTTTGTATTTAATACACATTAGTCAGTTTAAGGTGATACTTCTGTTGGTATAATGTAGTGTTTATTGTGTTAAGGGCACACATTAAGGTGTGAAAGGTAATTGTTTGGGTACGAATGATGAAAATGAGGGGACTAAATACACAAACATGTGACTTTAGGGATTAAATACTGCGCAAGTGTTAATACATTCATGAAAATACAGCAGTGTGTTTTGAACCTTTTCTGTACCGCATCTGGTCTGTTTCGCTTGTAATGAACTTCTGTCTGTTTGATCACTGAGTTTCCACGCTAGAAAGAAAGCAGCGACTCTTTGATTTGGATACACAGATAAACATTTATTATGTCTTAGATCATATATCAAATCCTATTTTGACCACATGTTAATCTAAGGAACAGGAAACACGTCGCTATAGAAATGTTCATGATGTTATTTTCCTTCTAACAGTGTAAAAGTTTTTCCGGGTGATTTCTACTTCCTGTGTGAGTGCAGCCAGTCTGCTGTCTATAGAGATTTCTTTTTATTTTAACCCCAAATGATAGTATTTGCTCTGCGGTGCTATTTGCTGTCTAACAACTATCTAGGAAAAAAAAACTCTTGTTGTTTTGAATGTATTTGTAAATGTTTAAGTGTGTTTTCTAAAGACGCGCACTAGAAACCATTCTGGACCAGCTGAGAAACTTCAGATCAGAGTCCTGGTTCTGAAATGGACTCTCACACACACACACACACACACACACACACACACACACACACACACACACACACACACACACACACACACACACACACACACACACACACACAGACTGAAGGACAAACTGCTGAGCACTTTGATTGGAGGATGGAGGGATGAATGGACCAATAAAGGGTTCACGGTGAAGCGACGACACACGATGTACAGCCAGTTAATCCTGACCTAACACACCTGTACAGTCACCACTGACCTGGATACAGTGATTGGTTTTAGTTTGTGAATAAAGTGTCGAATGCCAAAATGTACCTATTTACTGCTCAAAGTGTGTTTTTTGTTGTTGGTTTTTTGTCCTTTTCCAAATGATTGTTTTGGCTTTAAATGTTTAAAGTTGAATACATCATGAAAGACTAAGAAATCCAGAAAATATTCACTTTTGAGATGCTGGAACCCAGTGGCGAGCCGTGACTTGTATACCTAGGCCCTCTGACCTCTGAGTTATTTTGGTAAAACTACTGAAAAATATAACAAAAAAAATGTCAAAAAATATATATTTTTAATGTTTTTAAATATTATTTTGTAGAATATCTTAGGGCCCTGCCGGCTCGCCACTGTTACTAGATACTAAGAGTAACCTGAGTTTGCATTCAAGTCTTGCACTAAGAACCAGTAATACTTTATGGTTTAATATGTTGATTTCATTGTCTTGAGTTACAGGATGCTGTGTTAACTACAATATTTCATTTGACTGAGTTACATACAGTAGGAGGTTATTCCTTCAAGAGAAGGGGAAATGTTGTGTCCTGTTACTGTAGCCAGAGGGTGCTGTAGGACAGAGAGTTGATATAGGATGCCTGAAGGTGGAAGTTGGATAAAGAAGAATAAAGATTGAGTAAAGGGTAGCACACGACAACAAGAGGACATACCCTCCATTACAAAGTGCACCATGATGGATGTGGCTGAGGTGGAACTGTTCTCAGGAAGGTTCATGTATAAAGAGAACTGAGCAGTGTCAGAAGCAGGACTCTGTTCATTCCTATATTCCACAATGTGTTTTGACAGAAATACGACTGAACTGACTCGACTTCCAGCATCAGCCTCCATGGCGTTAGAACAGGACTTATTATTGGAACTGAAACACTCAGGTAATCTGAACAACACAGTAACTGAACTCTTCAGAAAGAAAGGAGGATGGTTTTTGGGAACAAATAATCAAACGTATTGGTGAGTAATGGCTATAATGACTTTTATTTAACATTGTTGATATTTTCTTGTCATTTTATTAAGTACATTTTGTTGCTTCTGCTAGAGATGATGTGCGGCGCAGCAGTGAAAGGAGGCTTGATGAATTGTGTTGTTTGGTGTTCTTGCTTTATTAATGGCATTCATTCTCTCTACATTAGAAACCTGTCTGTGATGCAGCGCCCTGTTATACTGCGTTAATGTATCATATTAATGGTTTCTATAGCCGTGACGTCATAATAATGCTATTAGGAGGTGGATTCATTCAGGTAGACACTACTGAAGGCCTAGGTGTGAAATGCATGGCCTGTTTCTGTTTTCAACATAACTCATTTGAAGATATTGTGAGACAAAAAAACAATAATTAGGATGCAAATAAAAAACACATTTTGTATGAAATTTCATTAAAGGTAATTTTTTTATTGGTAATTTAATCTTGATCAAAATTCAACAAAAGCCAAACATTTTATTATTATTTCCCACCGGCCAAATACATTCAATAGTAAAAACCCTAAACATATTAAATTCATAACCATATATAACAAGGAAAAGCATTAGATTCTCTATCTTCTATCAAAATGATCGTAACTAATTGATTATTCAGATCATTGTTGCAGCTGTATTCTGTAACACGAGGACTTTGAGGAAAGAAATACACTTTTCTCTGATAAAAATCACACACAGCAATTCAGCTTTAGAGCTCATCCCTCTTCTTCTCCTCCTCCTCGTGGAAGACTTGTCCATCCGGCTGCTTCCTCCAGGCCAGTTGGACGTTGTCGTCCAATCCCTGGGCCCTTAGGTTCTTTTTCGCCTGAGACACAAAAACTCATTTTCATTATCGTTCCAATGAAAACAGATGATTTCTCTTTAGTTCACTCATCTGAAATGGTAGTTGTTCCCCTTATTTCTTCCAGTGTAAAGGCTTACCTCAGGTTATGGAATAGTATTTGTACATTTTCCTAATGCATTTGGTGGCATGTGGCTAAGTTTCTGCTATTTACTTCTGCACATATTTACACGTCTTCTTACTAAATGCTTGGGTCCTGTTATTTGTGGCCAAAGTATTGAATGTATAATGGATATAGAATTTCATTCATGTTCATCTTGGTCCATTTCATTCATATTGAAATTCATTTACTACATTTTCTTTTGCTAAATTAATTATTCTTTAATAGTTATTTATTTGTTTCCTACCTCTTTTGTCTCTTGTTCTCATGTCATGTGAATTTCCTTTCTGATGAGTGATGTTCTTGCATAGAAGTAGAAAACATGATTTACCTCCACCAACATCGCATCCAGAAAAGCGGGGTCGTTCAGATCCACACCGTTTGGTTTCTCCACGCTCACCTTTATCACTTTCATTGAAACAGGCACAACAGGCACAACAGGCACAACATCTAAAACACAAACAAACTTCATCAGTCACAACATTTATGGTGTCTTGTTTTTCAACAGACTCAATATCATCACTTGCTTTGACGTAGCTGTGAATTTTACTCACGTCCGTAGCAAATGAATGGTTTCTCCACTCCACAGTCCAAGTCCTCCCATTTTCCAGAGTCGTCGAAAGCTGCAGCCACACAAGCTTTGAGACCTCTGTAGTTAGGTTCATTTACTTTCCAGTACTTGAAGGAGGAGTTGCTTCCATCTGACCACTTCCAGGAGTCTCTGTAAAGGCCGATCCAGGCATTATATCCACCTCCAGGTATCAGCTCATCAAGCTGCTGGTTCTCCGCCTGGTTTCTCACACTGGCCAGGTCTGTGTGGTGTTCTCTGCAGTAGCTCTGGGCATCAGTCCATGTCATTAGGCTCTTGATGAGGACAAATGTTGCACTCTGCCCTGAAAATGGACCCCAGAGAAGCTGAGTAGAGGCACCACAACATACAGCCTGACATCAATGCCACATCTCTGGTGGTATTGATGCCTTTATAATATAAAATATTACATTTAAATCCCACACATTTGTACTTTGTAATTTGTAGTTCTGGGGTTTTTCAACACATGAATGTTGGCAATAAACTTTTCTAGTATCAGTGGTGGAATATTCAGATCTTTTAGTAAAAGCAGGAGTACAACGATGTGAATATACTCTGTTACAGGTTAAAGCTTCATTCAAATTATATTGATTCTATATTGTTCTTATTCTGTTTAGCACAGATGTATAAGATGTAAAACGTACCTAAAACAAGTTTGCAAAAAAATGTATATACATCATTTCCTTTTATGTTATCTTTTAGATGAAACCATGTGAGAATTTGAGTGAAAAGGGAAATGTCTTTAGTGGAACTGCTAACAAAAGAAAAAAAGTCACAAAGAAAAAAGGTTGGGAACCGCTAGTTAGATAAAGACCAATGCATTGTATTTCAGAAGCTTAAAATATGATTTTAAATGTGTAATATTAATTTAAAGTTTATATTCTTACCTGTGACATCAAAGCAGATCACCCAGAGGGGGTAATGACGATATAAACTAAACCATGTTCCTGTTCCACCAGAATAAAAATATGTGCATTGGTAATCTTGCCAGTTGCTTGGTTGTCCAGTCCCCCATGGTCTGAACTCCGTCTCCCCCGGTCCGTAGAAGCTTGGGTCTGACATCGACCACTTCCAGGTGTCCCGGTCATCGTACAGCCCTATCCAGGCTGACTGAAAGCAATAAATTGTCATAATTATTACATCCTGTTGAAGCTTTTAAAGCTGCTGCTGAAGAAAATGTGTATGTTTAATAAAGAGAAGGTTTTTGTTATGCCTTTATGAGACCAGCCTTGGTACATGGTGATCTGATGGGAATCCCCTCAAGTCAACATTCATTTACAGCCTTGTTACTCTGAACCTCTTCAACTTTATTACAGGGTTTTATGCTATAGCTTTGGCTTAAAACATTTTCAACTCTGTTTTAATACTCAGGTTCCCATAGGACTTTAAAACAGGTTTAGCTTTCTGTAATAATCTCTCCTTTTTCAATTTGACTCTAAAAGAAATGTAATTCATTTGAATTGAAAGACAGAGAAAAGTGACCTCACTTGGTTGTATTGGCCTGCCATGTTGTTCAGGAGCTCCACAACCTCCATGCTGTCTACAGTGGCCAGGTCTGTGTGTTTCTCTCTGCAGTATCTCTGTGCTTCAGACATGGTCTTTGCTTCAGAAACAAAATGGTACTGACGTTCAGCATGTGAGGAGACAGCGCTCAGCCCTGTAGAGACACAGACACTTTGATTAGATTCAATATCAATTACTGAACCAAGTTCTCCAAATTACATTAAAGTTAAACTGTAAATTAAATAACTTAAGTAATTGTCAGAGGGAAACCAAAATAGAAAGTACTAAAAATTGCTAATGGGATAACATATTTTAAATACAAATAATAATTACCTGAAAGAGCGATGATGATCAGAAGAACTGTTTCCATCCTTGTCTCTTCCCTGTTCCTCTCTTTTGGAATGAGACTGTAGATGTGCAGCTGTTGACATTATACATAGGTAAAATGCAAAGTGGATATGGAACTGATACCTTTTTTACATCAGGCTTATTTAGTTACATTTGCACATGCATTTACAAGGAAAGACCACTAGAGTAATATGGGCGTAGGACTGGTGATGCAGCAGGAAAACCAAATTCATGCCCATAAATACAAAAAGTCTGAAACAACACTGATCATTTCATATAATGAGACACCTTTACAGTTTACAATCTAATACATTTAAAATATCACAAAACCGGTTTACGAATCATTGCACAAACTTCCAGCTTCATACTTTGGGTATTCTAGTAAAACATTTGTACATGCTTTAATGTTACACAAACTTTATTTTCTTTGTGTCTGGATACCTGTTTCAAACGCTTTGTTTTAGCTGCTCAAAAGGGTTTTACTGTCAAGGCAAAGGCTTAAGTACATGTTCACCCTCTGATGGCGTTTACTGCAAACCAAAATGAACTGAGACACATTCAGAATGTTTAGAGCTGCTTTACAATTAAAAAATCTTTATATTTCAAAACCTCACTTTTCAAAAATCACTTTATAGTCTAAAAGGCATTACTTATATTTTCAAAAAAAAAGCGTCTTGTGATCCAGGATCTTGCATATATTCCGGGCAAACATCTCTCACCAAAGATCTTCTAAATGTCCCCCAACAAGAGGACATACCCTCCATTACAAAGTGCACCATGATGGATGTGGCTGAGGTGGAACTGTTCTCAGGAAGGTTCATGTATAAAGAGAACTGAGCAGTGTCAGAAGCAGGACTCTGTTCATTCCTATATTCCACAATGTGTTTTGACAGAAATACGACTGAACTGACTCGACTTCCAGCATCAGCCTCCATGGCGTTAGAACAGGACTTATTATTGGAACTGAAACACTCAGGTAATCTGAACAACACAGTAACTGAACTCTTCAGAAAGAAAGGAGGATGGTTTTTGGGTACAAATAATCAAACGTATTGGTGAGTAATGGCTATAATGACTTTTATTTAACATTGTTGATATTTTCTTGTCATTTTATTAAGTAAATATTGTTGCTTCTGCTAGAGATGATGTGCGGCGCAGCAGTGAAAGGAGGCTTGTTGAATTGTGTTGTTTGGTGTTCTTGCTTTAGTAATGGCATTCATTCTCTCTACATTAGAAACCTGTCTGTGATGCAGCGCCCTGTTATACTGCGTTAATGTATCATATTAATGGTTTCTATAGCCGTGACGTCATAATATTGCTATTAGGAGGTGGATTCATTCAGGTAGACACTACTGAAGGCCTAGGTGTGAAATGCACGGCCTGTTTCTATTTTCAACATAACTCATTTGAAGATATTATGAGACAAAAAAACAATAATTAGGATGACCCACGTAAACATGACAGTCATATGTCTATCTTCATAGAGGCTGAATCATCATGTTAATCACATAGCTATCAAATTCCTAAAACAGTGTGTCCTGACGCTCTTCTAGGTAATCATACATCCTGTCATGTACACAGCTACAGTTGGGCCTTTGTCATCATGTTACTCTGATATTGGAAAAGTACATTCGGTATTTTCCCAACACAACTTCAAGAGCCACATTACACTGAAGCACGAATGGCAAAAGAAGGAAACGGAGGCAAAGGGAAAGATCACATATACATATATTCAAAGTTCTGTGGCTTTCCTTGACTTCCTGCAGTCTGTTCCCCTTTTCGTCATTTGCATATAGCTGAGACTGCATGTTTGTTTCAAAGTTTATGTGGGTGTCATCGTAAAAGCAGTGTGTTTGTTTTACATGTTCAAATGTTTGCATGTAGTTTGTTAGGAAATACTGTTGCCCATGTCTTGACCAGCGCTCCATTGGATGATACGTTTTCCATTCTCAATGGGACTTGAATAATTGTTTAATAATAATACATTTAAAAAACATTGCGTGAGGACATTTGCATTTGTTACAGCAAGAAAAGAGCCAAAGACAGCTTAATATTAACCAAGAAGCATGCACAACAAATATTAAAGATACAAAAATTACACAATTTACAAAATACACATCCTGTAACAGTTCTAACAGCTATTTACGGCATATGTATATATTGCACATAATTGGTATTGCACAACAAGGGGTGTTGTAGTCTTTGTTGTTATATGTGTTGGGGTCTACCAGGGACCATGATGGTTATACAGTCTGACCGCTGCAGGAAGGAAGGAGCTGTGAATATCTCTCTGTGAGACATTGAGCACAAAGCTGGCCTTCCTTACCAGTCTGTTCAGTCTCTTCCTGTCAGCAGCCGAGATGCTGCAGCCCCAGCAGGCCACAACATAGAAAATGGCTGATTATTTATTTAATCGTTTATTTAGCAGGGACAATGCACATCAATGAACACTTAAAACAATAAAATGTGTCAAGCGTAAATATGCCAGATTTAGCTTGGAGCTAATTTCCATCCGCAGTCCCTCACATAAAACATTTAAGAAAATGACATTTTACAAACATAGCAAAAACAAATACATGATATGCAAAAAGTGCAAAAGAGTATTTATCACATGGTAATACAATATGGCAGCAACGACATATAAAGTGCAAGAGAAGATACAAGAGATACATAAAGTGCAAGAGGAGATGTGTTAAAGTGCATTTAGCGGTGATTGCACGTCTGTTTGTTTCTCAAGTTATTGAGAGTGGGACAATCCCGTATCTCAGTTGGGAGGCTATTCCAGAATGAGCTACCTTTAATTGAAAGTACATTTTGTCCAAAAGTGGTCCGTCTGCGGTGGACTTCACAGTCTCCTCTGGTTTCTGACCTAGTGCAGTGTCCAGTGTGTTTTCTGTGGATGAAAAAGGGAGGGGGGGGCCAGTCCATGTAAACATTTATAAATAAAGCACATACTTCTAAAAGACTTGAAAATGGTCAAAACTCAAGAAATTGTGTTTTCAAGGATGGTACAGTGGCGGTATGAATATGGCTTTCTGTCAAACACCTTGATAGCTCTCTTGTACACACACACACGCACACACACACACACACACACACACACACACACACACACACACACACACACACACACACACACACACACACACACACACACACACACACACACACACACACACACACACACACACACACTTTACGTCAATACAACCTAACACCTTCCTGTGTCGATGCAGAGGTCCTATCTGGGACGGCTGGAAGGGCTGAGCCTCCTGATTGGTCGGAGCAGTACGTGGTCGTCGAGGCAACACCTTCAGTCAACAACCACACCTACATCTCACCTGTCAGCCAATCAGCTTCGTCCATCTCTGTGACATCACTCTGCCCTCCCACCCTGCTGCTCAGGGACTCGCTGGGACGAAGCTCTCTTCATCAGCTGATCCTTCCTCCTCTTCCTCCTCCTCTTCCTCCTTTACTCCTCTGAGGAGGCTGCTAAAGGGGGAGGAGGAGGAGGAGAAGGGAGACAAGGAGGAGAGGAGGAGAGGAGGACATCTTGGTTGTGACATTTGTAAATATTCTCCACTAGCAAGTTAGCAACAGTGTTCCCCTTATGAGGCCATTTAATTCCTTTGAGGCTTATTTTCTTAAAAATAGCAGAAAGAAATATGGCAGCAAAATGTGTGTTTCATTCCAGTGCAGAGATTTCTTTATTCCTTCAAGATATAGATACGTGTTTCTGGAAAATCCTTGATACTAGTTTATTTATATTGGAAACATGTTAAAACGGTTACACTCGTTTTTAGAAAAATACAATTGAAGGACTCAAGTTATGAGCGAAAGGTCTTAAAAACCTCCTGTCAGCTCGTTTGCTAAACAAAATGAAGCCAACACATGTTTTGTGCACTTCAGCTAAGTATCCACTATACTTAAAACATGAATATCACATATTTCTTCTTGTCTTTGCTCTCTGGCTCAAATGACTGAGGTTTTCTGTTTCCAGAGCTCCTCTTTGACAAATATGAGTTAACTAACTAACTTAAATGTATGTTCCCAAAGGCTCTCCTCTTAATTCAGTCTAAAAAGTTGACTAACACGAGTGTAACTCATCTCTGCTGAGTCCAACAGTCAAATCTGTAATTTACGAGTTTATAAGACTCCAATCTTCCTCCTCCTCCTCCTCCTTGTCAGATGACCTCCCAGCGGCCATATTTGTTTGACATGTCCCTATTTAGTGATTCTCACCGTCTTTAAAGACATCAAAGGACCAGTCTTGTTGTTATGGTTACTAAACTCTCAGACTGAAGCAGAAACACTTCCACGTCGAACACTGAGACCTCTCTGCTGATGTCCTCTCTTTTATTTTGTATTTCTTTATTTTTCTTCCACTAACTTGAGTGTTACCGTGTCACCATGGTGACCGGCGACCAAACTGACGACAGAGCTCCAGTTGTATTAACCTGGTGACTGACTACAGTACCCATGATGCAACAGGGCAGCCCTGAGGAAAAACGAAGACGAGAACATTGGGGTTTAAAAATCAAAGGAACAAACAAGGATTAAAAAAAAAAAAAAAAAAAAATAGGATGAAATACTTTGGGAGATCTGTTGATGTCTCGTGACTTACAAAAAAAAAAAGGACTACATGGTAATGTCATCGAGAGCTTGTTTTTACCCATATTACCCTTCAAACATTACCGTCCAATCACTTCCTTCCTCCTCATTCACTTCCTTTCAGCTGGTTTTTACTTCAGAGTTGTCATTTGCTGTCACATCCAGAGTTAAAAATTACGACCTGTAATTTATAAAATGTGAAATATAACCATAGAAAAACACGACTGGATTCACACAAGAAATGAACATAAGATTTAAGATTTCGATTTTTGCACAGATCTGGTGATTTGAGATGGGATTTAATCCTCTTAATGTTAAAAACTTGAATATAAAAATGTTTGTCAGTGTTCACATCACCGCTCAGACTCTCTTACACTGTTACATCCTAACTTCCTTTCCATTATGTGGTTAAATGTTGTATTATTTCTGTGCCACTCTGTCTTGTTCACTGCTGCCTCTGTTTGTGACTACAGTTCCCAGAATGCCTTTCAGCAGAGAAGGTGTGTCAGATTCTGTATAGTCTTTTTATAACTGGGTGACATAAAAACACAGCAGTTTTCTGCAGGTAGATAAAAGGTGCACTGGGGAGTACAATTTAGTTGGAGTTTGGTATCAGCATGTGATCTGAAGCGGCTTTACTGATTGGCCGATGAAGTTACTGAATCATGTGGTCAGTCATTTAAATACTGCTATTACTGAATGTCATGCTGGATTATTCTGGAGTTACCTTGATAAGTAGTTTCTGTGTGGACAAGAGTCGACCATGATTTTGTATTTAATACACATTAGTCAGTTTAAGGTGATACTTCTGTTGGTATAATGTAGTGTTTATTGTGTTAAGGGCACACACTAAGGTGTGAAGGGTAATTGTTTGGGTACGAATGATGAAAATGAGGGGACTAAATACACAAACATGTGACTTTAGGGATTAAATACTGCGCAAGTGTTAATACATTCATGAAAATACAGCAGTGTGTTTTGAACCTTTTCTGTACCGCATCTGGTCTGTTTCGCTCATATGTAATGAACTTCTGTCTGTTTGATCACTGAGTTTCCACGCTAGAAAGAAAGCAGTGACTCTTTGATTTGGATACACAGATACACATTTATTATGTCTTAGATCATATATCAAATCCTATTTTGACCACATGTTAATCTAAGGAACAGGAAACACACGTCGCTATAGAAATGTTCATGATGTTATTTTCCTTCTAACAGTGTAAAAGTGTTTCCGGGTGATTTCTACTTCCTGTGTGAGTGCAGCCAGTCTGCTGTCTATAGAGATTTCTTTTTATTTTAACCCCAAATGATCATAGTATTTGCTCTGCGGTGCTATTTGCTGTCTAACAACTATCTAGGGAAAAAAAATTCCTGGTTGTGTTTTGAATGTATTTGTAAATGTTTAGGTGTGTTTTCTAAAGACGCGCACTAGAAACCGTTCTGGACCAGCTGAGACACTTCAGATCAGAGTCCTGGTTCTGAAATGGACTCTCACACACACACACACACACACACACACACACACACACACACACACACACACACACACACACACACACACACACACACACACACACACACACACACACACACACACACACACACACACACACACACACGCACACACACACACGCACACACACACATAGACTGAAGGACAAACTCCTGAGCACTTTGATTGGAGGATGGAGGGATGAATGGACCAATAAAGGGTTCACGGTGAAGCGACGACACACGATGTACAGCCAGTTAATCCTGACCTAACACACCTGTACAGTCACCACTGACCTGGATACAGTGATTGGTTTTAGTTTGTGAATAAAGTGTCGAATGCCAAAATGTACCTATTTACTGCTCAAAGTGTGTTTTTTATTGTTGGTTTTTTGTCCTTTTCCAAATGATTGTTTTGGCTTTAAATGTTTAAAGTTGAATACATCATGAAAGACTAAGAAATCCAGAAAATATTCACTTTTGAGATGCTGGAACCCAGAAGGTGGAAGTTGGATAAAGAAGAATAAAGATTGAGTAAAGGATAGCACACGACAACAAGAGGACATACCCTCCATTACAAAGTGCACCATGATGGATGTGGCTGAGGTGGAATTGTTCTTAGGAAGGTTCATGTATAAAGAGAACTGAGCAGTGTCAGAAGCAGGACTCTGTTCATTCCTATATTCCACAATGTGTTTTGACAGAAATACGACTGAACTGACTCGACTTCCAGCATCAGCCTCCATGGCGTTAGAACAGGACTTATTATTGGAACTGAAACACTCAGGCAATCTGAACAACACAGTAACTGAACTCTTCAGAAAGAAAGGAGGATGGTTTTTGGGAACAAATAATCAAACGTATTGGTGAGTAATGGCTATAATGACTTTCATTTAACATTGTTGATATTTTCTTGTCATTTTATGAAGTAAATATTGTTGCTTCTGCTAGAGATGATGTGCGGCGCAGCAGTGAAAGGAGGCTTGTTGAATTGTGTTGTTTGGTGTTCTTGCTTTAGTAATGGCATTCATTCTCGCTACATTAGAAACCTGTCTGTGATGCAGCGCCCTGTTATACTGCGTTAATGTATCATATTAATGGTTTCTATAGCCGTGACGTCATAATAATGCTATTAGGAGGTGGATTCATTCAGGTAGACACTACTGAAGGCCTAGGTGGGAAATGCACGGCCTGTTACTGTTTTCAACATAACTCATTTGAAGATATTGTGAGACAAAAAAACAATAATTAGGATGCAAATAAAAAAACAGATTTTTGCATGAAATTTCATTAAAGGTCATTTTTTTTATTGATAATTTAATCTTGATCAAAATTCAACAAAAGCCAAACATTGTATTATTATCTCCCACCGGCCAAGCAAACACATTCAATAGTGAAAACCCTAAACATATTAAATTCATAACCATATATAACAAGGAAAAGCATTACATTCTCTATCTTCTATCAAAATGATCGTAACTAATAGATTATTCAGATCATTGTTGCAGCTGAATTCTGTAACATGAGGACTTTGAGGAAAGAAATACACTTTTCTCTGATAAAAGCCGACACAGCAATTCAGCTTTAGAGCTCATCCCTCTTCTTCTCCTCCTCCTCGTGGAAGACTTTTCCATCCGGCTGCTTCCTCCAGGCCAGTTGGACGTTGTCGTCCAATCCCTGGGCCCTTAGGTTCTTTTTCGCCTGAGACACAAAAACTCATTTTCATTATCATTCCAATGAAAACGGATGATTTATCTTTAGTTCACTCATCTGAAATGGTAGCTGTTCCCCTTATTTCTTCCAGTGTAAAGGCTTACCTCAGGTTATGAAATAGTATTTGTACATTATCTTAATGAATTTGGTGGCATGTGGCTACGTTTCTGCTATTTACTTCTGCACATATTTACACGTCTTCTTACTAAATGCTTGGGTCCTGTTATTTGTGGCCAAAGTATTGAATGTATAATGGATATAGAATTTCATTCATGTTCATCTTGTTGTCTCTTGTTCTCATGTCATGTGAATTTCCTTTCTGGTGATTGATGATTTTGCATAAAAGTAGAAAACATGATTTACCTCCACCAACATCGCATCCAGAAAAGCTTGGTCGTTCAGATCCACACCGTTTGGGTTCTCCACCCTCACCTTTATCACTTTCATTGAAACAGGCACAACAGGCACAACAGGCACAGCAGACACACTAGTCTCAGGAGTCGTAACAGGCACAACAGGCACACTAGTCTCAGGAGTCGTAACAGGCACAGCAGGCACACTAGTATCAGGAGTCGTAACAGGCACAACAGGCACACTAGTCTCAGGAGTCGTAACAGGCACACTAGTCTCAGGAGTCGTAACAGGCACAACAGGCACACTAGTCTCAGGAGTCGTAACAGGCACAGCAGGCACACTAGTCTCAGGAGTCGTAACAGGCACAACAGGCACACTAGTCTCAGGAGTCGTAACAGGCACAACAGGCACACTAGTCTCAGGAGTCATAACAGGCACAACAGGCACAGCAGGCACACTAGTCTCAGGAGTCGTAACAGGCACAACAGGCACACTAGTCTCAGGAGTCGTAACAGGCACAGCAGGCACACTAGTCTCAGGAGTCGTAACAGGCACAACAGGCACACTAGTCTCAGGAGTCGTAACAGGCACAACAGGCACACTAGTCTCAGGAGTCGTAACAGGCACAACAGGCACACTAGTCTCAGGAGTCGTAACAGGCACAACAGGCACACTAGTCTCAGGAGTCGTAACAGGCACAACAGGCACAGCTAAAAACACAAACAAACTTCATCAGTCACAACATTTATGGTGTCTTCTTTTTCAGCAGACTCAATATCATCACTTGCTTTGACGTAGCTGTGAATTTTACTCACGTCCGTAGCAAATTAATGGTTTCTTCACTCCACAGTCCAAGTCCTCCCATTCTCCAGAGTCGTCGAAAGCTGCAGCCACACAAGCATTAAGACCTATGTAGTTAGGTTCATTTACTTTCCAGTACTTGAAGGAGAAGTTACTTCCATCGGACCACTTCCAGGAGTCTCTGTAAAGGCCGATCCAATACCAAGATCTAGATACCAGCTCAACAATCTGCTGGTTCTCTGTCTGGTTTCTCACACTGGCCAGGTCTGTGTGGTGTTCTCTGCAGTAGCTCTGGGCCTCAGTCCATGTCATTGCGATGTTGATGGGGACAAATGTTGCATCCGGCCCTGAAAATGGAGCCCAGAGAAGTTGAGTAGAGGCACCACAACATACAGCCTGACATCAATGCCACATCTCTGGTGGTATTGATGCCTTTATAACATAAAATATTACATTTAAATCCCACAAATGTGTACTTTGTAATTTGTAGTGCTGGGGTTTTTCAACACATGAATGCTGGCAAGAAACTTTAGTAGAATCAGTGGTGGAAGAAGTATTCAGATATTTTAGTAAAAGCAGGAGCACAACGATGTGAATATACTGTGTTACAGGTTAAAGCTTCATTCAAATTATATTGATTCTATATTGTTCTTATTCTGTTTAGCTCAGATGTATAAGATGCAAAACGTACCTACAATTCTGAAACAAGTTTGCAAAAAATTGTATATACATCATTTCCTTTGACGTTATCATTTAAATGAAACCATGTGAGAATTTGAGTGAAAAGGGAAATGTCTTTAGTGGAACTGCTAACAAAAGAAAAAAAAGTCACAAAGAAAAAAGGTTGGGAACCGCTAGTTAGATAAAGACCAATGCATTGTATTTCAGAAGCTTAAAATATGATTTTAAATGTGTAATATTAATTTTAAGTTTATATTCTTACCTGTGACATCAAGGCAGACCGCCCAGGTTCGGTCATTACAATTCAAATCATACCATCTTCCATCAGGATGAGAGGCTGTGCATTGGTAATCGTGCACGTTGTATGGTAGTCCAGACTGCCATCCTCTGAACTCCGTCTCCCCCGGTCCGTAGAAGCTTGGGTCTGACATCGACCACTTCCAGGTGTCCCGGTCATCGTACAGCCCTATCCAGGCTGACTGAAAGCAAGAAATTGTCATAATTATTACATCCTGTTGAAGCTTTTAAAGCTGCTGCTGAAGAAAATGTGTATGTTTAATAAAGAGAAGGTTTTGTTTGCCTTTATGAGACCAGCCTTGGTACATGGTGATCTGATGGGAATCCCCTGAAGTCAACATTCATTTACAGCCTTGTTACTCTGAACCTCTTCAACTTTATTACAGGGTTTTATGCTATAGCTTTGGCTTAAAACATTTTCAACTCTGTTTTAATACTCAGGTTCCCATAGGACTTTAAAACAGGTTTAGCTTTCTGTAATAATCTCTCCTTTTTAAATTTGACACTAAAAGAAATGTAATTCATTTGAATTGAAAGACAGAGAAAAGTGACCTCACTTGTTTGTATTGGCCTGCCATGTTGTTCAGGAGCTCCACAACCTCCATGCTGTCTACAGTGGCCAGGTCTGTGTGTTTCTCTCTGCAGTATCTCTGTGCTTCAGACATGTTCTTTGCTTCAGAAACAAAATGGTACTGACGTTCAGCATGTGAGGAGACAGCGCTCAGCCCTGTCGAGACACAGACACTTTGATTAGATTCAATATCAATTACTGAACCAAGTTCTCCAAATTACATTAAAGTTAAACTGTAAATTAAACAACTAAAATAATTGTCAGAGGGAAACCAAAATAGAAAGTACTAAAAATTGGTAATGGAATAACATGCAGTATTTTAAATAAAAATATATAAAACTCTTGCCTGAAAGAGCGATGATGATCAGAAGAACTTTTTCCATCCTTGTCTCTTCCCTGTTCTTCTCTTTTGGACGGAGACTGTAGATGTGCAGCTGTTTACATTATACATTAGGTTAAACATTAACTAACATTATGCGTTAGTTAGCTGCACTTTCGACTTAATGCAAAGTGGATATGGAACGGACAGCTTTTTTATATCAGGCTTATTTACTTACATTTGAATGGAGGTGCCAACTAACAGCGAATCACTGGCTGGGTGGGCGTTACCATGAGTGACTACCGGTGTTTACCTTTCCGGTTGTTACAACATGCATTTACAAGGAAAGACCAATAGAGTAATATGGGCGTAGGACTGGTGATAAACAGCAGGAAAACCAAATTCATGCCCATCAACAAATAAAATACAAAAAGTCTGAAACAACACTGATAATTTCATATAATGAGACACTTTTACAGCTTACAAGCTAATACATTTAAAAGATCACAAAACCGGTGTAAGAATTATTGCACAAACTTCCAGCTTTACACAAACTTTATTTTCTTTGTGTCTGGATACCTGTTTCAAACGCTTTGTTTTAGCTGCTCAAAAGGATTTTACTCTCAAGGCAAAGGCTTAAGTCCATGTTCACCCTCTGATGGCGTTTACTGCAAACCAAAATGAACTGAGACACATTCAGAATGTTTAGAGCTGCTTTACAATTAAAAAATCTTTATATTTTGAAACCTCACTTTTCAAAAATCACTTTATAGTCTAAAAGGCATTGCCTATATTTAAAAAAAAAAAAAAGCGTCTTGTCATCCAGGATCTTGCATATATTCTGGCCAAACATCTCTCACCAAAAATCTTCTAAATGTCACCCAACAGGAGGACATACCCTCCATTACAAAGTGCACCATGATGGATGTGGCTGAGGTGGAATTGTTCTTAGGAAGGTTCATGTATAAAGAGAACTGAGCAGTGTCAGAAGCAGGACTCTGTTCATCCCTATATTCCACAATGTGTTTTGACAGAAATACGACTGAACTGACTCGACTTCCAGCATCAGCCTCCATGGCGTTAGAACAGGACTTATTATTGGAACTGAAACACTCAGGTAATCTGAACAACACAGTAACTCAACTCTTCAGAAAGAAAGAAAGGAGGATGGTTTTTGGGAACAAATAATCAGACGTATTGGTGAGTAATGGCTATAATGACTTTTATTTAACATTGTTGATATTTTCTTGTCATTTTATTAAGTAAATATTGTTGCTTCTGCTAGAGATGATGTGCGGCGCAGCAGTGAAAGGAGGCTTGTTGAATTGTGTTGTTTGGTGTTCTTGCTTTAGTAATGGCATTCATTCTCGCTACATTAGAAACCTGTCTGTGATGCAGCGCCCTGTTATACTGCGTTAATGTATCATATTAATGGTTTCTATAGCCGTGACGTCATAATAATGTATTGAAGTATTCGATGTTCTCGCGCCCAGGAGAGGAGCTTAGAATGAAGAGACTAATGGAGTCTCTGAAAAGGTTCAAATGGGTAGTTTAATTAAGTAACGTGGTTAAAGAACAAGCATGGGTAATGGAGAGACAAAGCCGGTGTTGTCTTCAGGGTGGGCTGCAGCGAAGGAGAGCGAGTTATCTTCCGTCCTGTCTTTTTATCCACGTCTCGTTGTCTCCCGTGGTGATAGTGGGTCCGCCCTTCTCATCTGTGGGTTCGATATCGCGAGAACAGATGATTTCGACATTGGTATTCTCTGCCTATTTCCTTAAGCATTTTCTCCTCCTTATCTCTGTCATGACTTTCTATTTAATACCTTATAAACAGCTGTAATTGTTAGTTTAGAAGTCCTAAAAACGCTTCTATGGCACAGTTCTCATTTACGGTAGCTCCCTCTGACGTCATAGCTACTCACGTAATGTGTAAACACTCTATGATCAATTGTACCTTCATTTAATATTCAGCAGTAATAATATCTCAACGTCTATCGATGTAGTGTTAAAGTCCGTACGTTTTGGTGTATAACACTCCAAGTCATTTTCACTTTACATTCAGAAAACGTAATATTTAGTCACATGCTAACCGGATAAAGGATTTTCAGAATAAAAGCTTGGCATTGATTTCCTGAGAACTTCCGGGTTTTTTCCACAATAAAACAGCTTTAAACTGACGATATATTTTAGACTGAATTATGCTGTTTAACATTGATTTTAATTTCTAACAATCCCTCCTTTCACACCTTTTAAGGTGTGAACACAATACTAAAAGTAATGAGTTCCTCATCTGACTGCTTTTAAACTGGCGGTATGTTTTAGACTAAATCATGCCATAAAACATTGATTTTAATTTCTAACAATCCCTCCTTTCACACCTTTTAAGGTGTGAACACAATACTGAAATCAATGAGTTCTTCATCTGAACTTTGCATAGTACATAACTCATATCAAAAACATACTATCAAAATGGAATGGTTCAAATAACCGTCATCAAAAATACAAACAATACATTGGTTGGTCTTCTGGTGTAAAAGTTTTCCCTTGTGCATAACTTTTAGTTTTAACATTCAATATCACTTTTTAAAATAGCAGCAACTTGTGGTATTAGAACATTTCTTACTCCCTCCTTTCACAGAAACCGTTCCCATACCACATTCAGTGTTAAGGCACTTGTTTTACAAAGTATAAAAACATACTATTTAAAAATCGCATCACTAATAACAGTATAAAACATAAAAGTTAGAAACCTTTTTGGAATAGTGCAAAGTAATACCACTTTGTAGCTGGTTCTTCATTCTAATGATTTCATCATTTGAAATATCACATGATTTGGACATTCTTTGAACAATCTCATCATTTATCATCCATATCATTTACACACTGTCATCATTTTCATCAATATCTGTATATGGGTTGAGTCGTCTTGTTCTGCTAGCAATTGAAACTGTTCCCTTATGAGAAATGTACCCTCCCCCCTTTCATACTTTTTAAGTATGAAAGTAATATGTTCTCTAGAAAAGGCTGTGGTGATCAATCGTTAAGTTAGGGTGCGGGTACATGGAATGCAACTACAACATCTAGCACTCCCCTGGGCACCCCTATGCTATCCTTGTACACTGTGGAGCCTAAACTCCCTCCTTTGACTGGTCTCTTAGCCCTCCTGTTTTTTTTTTTTTTTTTTTTTTTTTTTTTGGGGTGTTTCGCCATGTTGATTAACTGCCCCACTGTCATTGGTACTGCATATAAAACATCACTGGCTGTACAAGTGCACAGGTCCCAGTCCAATCCTGTGGCAAGACTGCGTACAAGGTTTTAGTTCCATGATACCATCAAACATCTACTCTGGGATACGGCATTTCAGACAGTCATTTCTGGGAGAAGATTTTGGTCAGTTACAACAATTGGAGAATTTCATCACTTATGGTTCCTCCTTCAGTACCTTTGGGTGGTCTGTTCTAATGCAGTGATAAAGTTCCTTAAATGGTGTGAAAACCGGTGGAATATCAATAACTCATTATACTAATTTATCTTCAATTCTAGTCTGTTTAAAGAACTATGCTAACCCCTTTAACAGTGTGTGGAACCTTGGGTGTCCGAGCATGTAACAGTTACTCCCTCCTTTATCAAGGATTTTAAAAACAGTAGTTATTTCATCCATGGTTTGTAGTTCAATTTAGGAATTTTCACTTATGGCGGATATGTTTCTACTTTAAATAACATCTCTAAATTTCAGGTCATCCCTGATTAAATGGATGACCATTAGGAGGTGGTGACGCTTGTCTTTTAAACTCATAATTTGGTGCCGTGCGCTCCCTGTGAAGCTTCAAGTAAGATTTAAAACAACTGCTGGGTGGGTTGAGTGACCCCTTCTCCCTAAACGATATGGGTTGTCAATAATATGCACCATTGCAATGAGTGATCCAAGGTCCCGCATGTATTACTCTGCGTTAGTATATGTTGGTAGTGCGTGAGGCCATATGTACAGATATGTACATGGGACATGAAAACAGTGCATCTCATATTGACAAAAATAAACCTCGCTAACCGAGTTTTCCAAATCACTCTAAAAATAAGCCGTTGTGATACACGTGTAGACAACATCTGCATAATCATAAATGATCATTACATTGGGGTCATTAAACCATTATTTCGCTAAGATAAAAAACATTAAAGTTTTGGATTTTAGTGTAATTCACAAATGTTCCACCAGATGGTGCCACACACACCCAGGGGGAAAAGATTATATATTAACCCAGTAATAAGTGGCTAAAATATGGGTACATTAGTGTTTAAAGCCGTGGGAAATGTTTTAATTCAACAGGAGAGGGTCATTCAATTGTTACCCATGGAACAGGGCTGCAAACATGGCTACATGAGTGTTAAAATGCTGTCAAACTGTTTTAATTCAGTCACAATTGTCGTTTTTAGACGGTGTACATTGGACTCAATAAACATACAGAGTTATGGACATAAATGTGTCAGTATAGACGGGATAATGTACATATTAATAATATTTAATTAGTTAAATGTACAATGAGCTAAAAACAGCAGAATCACTGCTGTTAGCAGGGTCTCAGAGAGCCATAGACCCAGGGTACAGCACATCGCTTTCTTACCCATAAAACAGGGCTCTGATCAGGGCTAAAGTAATGTTAGAAACTGGTGAATCTGTTTAAATGCAGGCAGCATAGTCACTGCTTTTAGCAGGGTCTCAGAGAGCCATAGACCCAGGGTACAGCACATCGCTTTCTTACCCATAAAACAGGGCTCTGATCAGGGCTAAAGTAATGTTAGAGACTGGTGAATCTGTTTAAATGCAGGCAGCATAGTCACTGCTTTTAGCAGGGTCTCAGAGAGCCATAGACCCAGGGTACAGCACATCGCTTTCTTACCCATAAAACAGGGCTCTGATCAGGGCTAAAGTAATGTTAGACACTGGTGAATCTGTTTAAATGCAGGCAGCATAGTCACTGCTTTTAGCAGGGTCTCAGAGAGCCATAGACTCAGGGTACAGCACATCGCTTTCTTACCCATAAAACAGGGCTCTGATCAGGGCTAAAGTAATGTTAGAAACTGGTGAATCTGT